TAATTTCCAATGGCATTCAAGCCACACAGTATTTTTAAATTGATCATTTCATCCAAATATCACTTTCTTATTCATTTTGGTCTCCATAAATCACAAGGAAGGGGTGTGCGATAGACTTACCTCCACGTGGTGCACCCTGGGCAACGTATATTTATACGGCAAAAAAGTCTATTAACTGGCAGTTGACTTCTGACTTCAAACTACCCTCACCCCATTGTATGTCATATTCGACTACTTCACAGTACTCACCTCACCTTTTTTCTACCTTTGTGTCTGTCTCTTTTACATCTTTGAATCACTCTTCTGTCTCCCACCCCCCTCGACTTTTTTTCACTGATGTTCCTTCCCCTCTGTGAAGCCTGAAGTCAACTAAATGGCTAATGATAACTATCAAAGTGCCTGCCATTTGATATAAATAAATAAATAGTTATAAAAATTATGAATAAAATCGAATCAATCTTAAATCGATATGTCCACTAAAGAGATTTTAAAGTGGAATTTCATGCACTTTCCACTTCGAAATAGAAAATTATGGAGACTATCTCAAGCCCTTAACAGTGTCGTTTATCTCCCACCTCCCTCTCCCCCTGGACATATATGCCCACGTTGTCCATTGATTATGTGTTTTGTGAACCTCTCTTCAAACTCACAGGAATGATTCCTTTGGTGGACATTCAATGAGTTTCCTTGAATATTCATTCACAGTCTTTTTCACCTTTTTTACACAGTTTGTGTATTCTTGCTGAAAGTCGAGAGAAGTGGGCGTCTGTTTGTTCGTTTTTAGGTATTGCATAAATTTCTGTTTTTTTTCAAATTTAATCATGGGCAAGCTCCCAATTAAGAGAGAGGACAAGTGAGCCCAATTTGATTTGAAGTAGGCGATGATGAAGACGCTGCTTTGTGTCATTCATGTGTTATCTCCTCATCACTTGGCTCCCACGATATTTGTTTTAATTTAATTTCCGACTGACGCTGTCGCCTCAATTCATTCCCATACCCTCGTAGATGAGAACATTTTACTTTGCCCCATGTCACTCATTCAAAGGATATCTTCTTTTGTGGGGATCAATGAGTGAGTTGATTAAACTTCGGCGCAAAGGGAAATCAAAACGAGACTTAAATGACCTTTTTTCCTCATGTTATGGCCTTCGTGTTGACCTCATAGGAGTTTGCATCGGCTCGAGGGCACCTAATCTGTCTTTATTAACCACAACGCCTTTGTAAGTGAGCTAATAGTCAAATGAGAAAAGTAATCCATTATTGGTCAAATGAAATATAATAGTATCGTTTGAATAGACGTTGAAGATACTTTTTAAGCATTTTCATAAAATTTAGGATCTGTTCAAAATCAGAACGGAAACTGACGAGGATAACGTTATTAACATACAAGTAAGTAAAGAGAGCAATTTTCTAAGCAGAATGGATTGTCGTGGAAATGCAAATGACCTTGAAATATTGCTCATACCAATCTTAACGTACATTATTTTCTTCCACTAAATTACCTTAAAATGGAATAAGTGCTCAAAAGCACTCTGAATGATTAATTACAAAGGCCCTGGAATCATCAAGTTTGTTAACAACCTGGAAAGCGCAGATACTAAGTCCCAGAACCCTCGATGAAATGAATGCAACTCGATTCAAGTTAAGATTGAGATGAAGTTTATGCAAGATTCATTCGGGTATTTGGAAGCCTGCAAGATGACTCTTTTCTTCTAACAATATTCCTCGCCATACATTGCTGAAAGGGCGTTATAAATGCTCACTATTTCAATACTCATTCAAAGATCGCATTCTTATTTACCACACACTGCCATTCTACTTGCATCGTTCTTCATCTCGCTCATGTGCAATGTTTTTACCTCTAGGTGCGCGTTCGACCTTCCACCACGTGGTGCACCCTGGACAACGTATACTCATGCGACAAAAAAATCCATCAGCCTGCAATTGACTTCTGACTACCATCACCCCACTGTATGTCATATTCGACCCCTATCACAGTACTCATCTTACCTTTTGTCTGTCTCTGTCACATCTGTGAATCATTATTGTCCCCCCTCTCGACTTTTTGTCACTTTGATGTTCCTCCTCCTCCTCCTCTCTGTGAAGCCCGAAGTCAGCTAAAGGGATAATGATAACTTTCAAAACGCCTGCCATTTGATATAAATAAATAATCCTGGAGTCTACTTGTGCACTTTTATTTTATCAACGGAATGTAAAGCAGTGGTGGTATCACTAAGCGGACTATTTTACTAACCGAGTTCAAAACCAAATAAAATTTTACTTTTAATACATTGGCTTTATTTTCAACAGTTTTTCCACTTCCGCTATTCTTCATCCCTTGTTGAACTTTTCCCCCCAATTTAATTGCTCTGCCATTGATAATAGTCTCGATGATTAATTCCTATTCTCCTCTTCCCACTTCCTCAATTCCCTGTTTTAATTATTTCATTATTTGTATGTTCCTACAGTATTAAAGTGCCTTCTTTGTTCTGGGTAATACTTATACATTATTAATCAGCACCAATTAGAGTTCGCGACTCTGAGTACTGTAGCAATGCAAATTTTCAATAAGGAGTGAAGAGAGAAGGTGGGTAGGAGTTTCTTATAACTCAACTTTTCTGATCTCCAATCTCCCGCTCGTATCGGGGATTTCAAAGTTTTCTAATCTCATGTTTTGGCTTGACTTATATCCACATAGTCCCCAATTTATATGTCAGTTGAGCAATTGAAATTCGCATTTATCTCCGATTATCGAATAAATTATGGTCTTATAAATTGATTATATGATTTACAGTCACATTGTTTATTTATTCGCTTCACTTTCTCACTTAGTCTAGTTGCAACAGTTTGTGAGCTGCTAATAATTCACCTCGCATTTAAACTCGTTAATATCTGTTTCAGTGTGGTCTGCTATGTTGCTAATATGTTACTACAGTGATGTGGTCTTTGTTTACGCTGGTTTAAATTATATTTACTCTGGAAGTACATCCACGCATTAATTTGCTCAGCTCATTTGCGAACTTCCTGTGCGTTCTCATCAGGCCTTGGATAAATTCAATTCGAAGGGTATCCTTATAATTTTTCTTACTCATTGAACACTAGGCACCTCTTTTTAAAAAATTTCTTTTTCAAATTTATCACGATTTGATATCGAAGACCCATCATCTTCGTAGGTATATTTATCTACAAACTGTCTACCTCTCTTTAATGATATTAAATACTCTAGAGATGAATCTAATTTTCAAAACTCGTTTTGAGTTAAGAAGGTTTGATTTGAAAGTCTCTCCAATGAAAGCCTCGTTTTTTTTCAAATGTGCACCATCCACTGTTGGACTAAGCAGGCTAGCGAGCATAATTTTATGAGGGTGTCCAAAACTTCTTAGCACATGGATGATCATTCTAGATGTGCTCGACTTCAGCTACAATCAAAATCTTGTCTTGTCTATAATCACTGTACTGAGGAGGTTTGACGCCAATTGTAATTGTAAATTTTCGTTTGAGTGGCACATTGAAATTCATCATTCTCAAGACTCTTTCCTTTTGTTCGTACTTTTGTCGCTGTCTGGGCGTTTGGTAATTACCCAAATGTATTGCCTCAAAGGCCCCATGTGCTTTCTAAATGCTCAGTGTATCTCAAAACCTTATAATGGCACACTTTTGGTTTATTATTGACATTATTGCAAAGGTATAGACCATTTACCACACCTTTTTATGTTGAGCGTTTTGTGGTCATGTTGCGTTAGTTTTTATTAGCCCTCTGATATACATCAAGGAGAAGGCAATTATTATTGTTGTTGTTACGATTTGTGAACCCTTTGATCCTCTCTTATACAGCTCAATACTTCACATTGCTTGATTTTTAGATGAAAGAGAACTTAGCAGTTGTTTAGGATTTCCACTTATTGATTAACATTTACATCAGAGATTAATTATTCATGCTTTTCGTCAATGCAAATTGGTGCTAAATTTGGCCATTTTTTTCAGGATAATTTAAGGCCGATTTCGAGGCTATAGGTTTCGTGAGAAGAGGAATTTCACTCCCTTACCCCCTACGCTTGGTCTTAGATACTCATTTGATATGCGCGCGCATGACCTCTGACTAAGTGATCATTCGCAGAGAGGAAATCTAAATAAATCGTATATTTTTCCTACGGCCTTGAAAACTATATATACATATATACGCTGGGATTTTTTGTAGAACGTGAATTGTATTGTCTTGCATTGTGTTCCAGGTGTAGTTACTGACGTGTAATAACGCCTTATTTGTGTTTACCTTCTAGGAATGTTTGTTTCAAGGCCTCGTGGATAATGAATGTGCTACACTCAGGTTTCGGATTTTCACAGAATTACAACAATCTCCATCCCATTGACAAGTTGGCTGAAATTGAAGTGCAGTGGAGCCTAGGAGCCTTCATCTATCACATGCAGACGTAAGGCGATCTTTCGGCTCTTGCTATTTCGCTGCATCACGCCAGCCTTAGCTTAATTAACACAAAGAGTCATTCATCTTTAAGGGCCTTATCTAACGGGGGCTCAATGTTATCCCCTTATAAAAAGAATATGATTTCTACTGGTTACTAATAAGTATGGAAGGACTAGGAGTTAAGTTAGACCACCGATGCACTTGATAGTTGTGAAGTGGAAAGGAAACGTCGTGTCGGTAAAACGTGAGTGGGCACAGGATTGTGCCCAACAAGACTCACCTTAAGACAAGCTAGAGAAGTCAATACCCTATTCTCGCTTTACTTAGTCAATAAATTTGATCATGATTTTGATAGTTAGGACAGTTATTAGTCAACATCATCGTTCTGATCAGATGCTTAAAATATTGAATTTATTTCATCCTCTCCAATGTAAATAGCTCGTAGGCATCGTTCTGGCGTCATCATGTATTAATGTGGGTGCCGGTGAGGTCATTGACCCCAATTTTATTAGAATCATAAATAGGGGGGGGG